AAATCAGAAAGCAAACATACAATCAGAAAGAGACAACTAAAATTTCTGGGATACAAAGTGAGAAATTTAACTCTCACAGGATATATTCAAAGAAAGAGAAGTGTGATAAGCTATGAGTAAAGTTATTTTATGAGCTTGTGTGAAAGGATAATAGAATAAGGATAAAAAGAGATGGCAATTTATTAGAGCAACAAATGACAGGAAGTTGTGGAGAGCCATAATTACATATATCCTGATAGAACTTGGAATATGAAAGAGGAATTTTAATTTAAATGTACAATACATGTATCAAGTACAAGTGATGTTAATTCTAGAAAGGTTTCTAAGTACATATACTAATGGATACAGAAATTTAATTTTATTAAAAATTGCTTCTTGATACCATTTAAGGACAAAGATTAAATTTTAAAGAAATTTTAAAATGCTTTCTCTTATGGACTTTTTGTTTACAGCTTCTGATAAGTAGATTCTGCATAAACTAACTTTCTTTAATTGCTAAAGTTGTCAGCAAATGAGGTAGCAGGCTATCTATTTGAACAGCTGGTGCGTGGATGGTGTAATATATAGAGGCTTGGAAGAGAAATTGGTGAGCCAAGTTCAAATCCCACCCACATTCGTTACATTCACTCATGTGAAAATATCTTTGGGAAAGGCATGAATCCATCTCCCCCAGCTATGGGTTAAATAGTATAACTTTTAAAAGAAAATCATTATCCTTAAAAAAAAAAATTCTGACTATCCCAATTGTATTTTGGCTTTAAATAACTCACAAAGGTTTGATAATCCATAAAAAACAAATCAATCAATCAATATCTGACCAGTTTGTGGTGGAACAAGGAGTGGGAAGGATGCCAAAGACAAACATTACGAAGAGCTACAAAGGATAGGGCATTGTGGAGACCCATGATTCACCCAAATCTTGAAGTGACAAGGCACACAGATGTGGCGTGATAAGAGTAAGTGGAGTTGTGGGTAATTGTGCAATGAACAGCACAAAAAAAAAAAAAAAAATGGAAACAGGTTATATTTACCCTGCACTTGGGGAAAGCAGGAATCCATCTTGCTTCATCCCCCACCTCCCCATCTATGGATAAAAAAAACAGAACTAGTTGGCAACCAATCTAAAATGACAATTCAAACAAGGAGTGGAGCCACTTGAGTCAACTTTGAAGCTCTTGTAAGCAAACTGATGCCTATCTGTATCAGTTCTCAAAATGACAATGGAGGCTCCAGTGAAGCTTTTTATGGCCCTAGCCAAAGAAAATTCAAATTCCTCAAATAAAAATACAAAAGAAGAATCATTACCATATAAAAGTGGATAAAAAAACAATAAAATGGTGAACTAATAATATCCAAATGTCAGATAATACCTAAAGATGAAGCCTCGATGTTGGAATATTTGTTTTCCTTTTTAATAAAGTTCTGATAATCAGTAAGTGTTCACAACACTATAATATATGATATGTAAGGTAAGAGAAGTAAAGGGGGTACATAAATGTGAACAAAAGTATGAAACTTACCAAAGTTTGGTGAAATGAAAACACTACAAAGACAGGTAGATATCCTCATCTTTAAGATTTATGTACTCAACAGAAGGACTGAATTAATGATTCAGTATTTCCTTTGATTTTTTATAAAAGGATGCCTGTTCTAGTAAGGCCAGAGAGATCAAAAACTTTGTGTGCTGTTGTATTAAATTATCCTAGGATGTGCGTGTGTGTGTATATATATAATAAATACAAATGTCAGTGTTTCATCATGTCACACTTTTTCAACTTTACTCCTACAGGCTGTAGCCCAACACATCATACCATTTTGGAATCAGGCTGACTCCATGAGCAAATTAAAAACATTCCAATGATTTTTTGTACAATAACAATTTTTATAACTTAGAAATAAATTTGGGAATAACCAAAATTAATTACAAAATCCAGCAAAAGTCACCTATGAAATAAAAATAATTGTTTGTATGGGAAGCAAGGACTTACATATATTAAATTGTCTTTAAATTAAGTGGTAGCAGAAGAATTATCACTGAACTTTTTAAAAGGTAAGCTTAGATATTAATGCAATACTTAAATGCAGTGATCAATTTTGAGTTCTTTTGTAGTTTATTGTTGCTTATCGAATCTACTCCTCCCTACCCATTGTGATGAAGGCCCAATCAAGAGCCCTCTACAGGAGTTAGCTTAAATGCCACCCAATAGGGCAGCTTTTAAGCTAGTGTATATATATATATATAGATATATATGAGAGAGGGAGAGAGAAAGAAAAGAGTACCCTGACTAAAGTTTGGTCTGATATGATACACACCTAACATCAAAGAGTTATAACTGATCTGATTTTCTAACAAATTCAGTTAACACAGTTAAACAAAGAGGGTTGTAACTATCAATAAATAAAAACTCTTATAACTTAAGAGTGAACATCCTTAAATATAAATATATAAAAAGAAAAACAAAAACATACACATCACTCTCTACCTACATCTCAACACTCACTAGTTCTATGAACCTCACCAATTGTCTCTATCTACTCTGATGATGACTTAAGAAAGTCGAAAGCTTGTACTGCATTTCTTGTACATATTTTGTTCCAAAATGAACTTTGGACAATTTTTGACAGAATTTCATCCTTGTCTGAGAAGAATCATTTATAATTTCAAAAACTCAATCATTAAAATTAATCAACACAAAATGTCTGTCATCTTTAAAAGTATTTGTCTTAAAGAACATTTGATGCCTAAATACACAGTGTGTGTGTGTGTGTGTGCGTGGCTTAGATACCAGAGTCTGAGCAGGGTACATGAAGTGATATTAAATGGCTGGAGGAACATTACTTGGCATGCAAAATGGAGATCATTAGGCAAGAGGAGTTGTGAGGATAGTGCAATACTGTGGGGGAGTTGGGTTGTTCTTCCTGCCATGTTAAGGGTAAAGGTATTGCAGGAGCTCCATCAGACGCACATTGGAATTGCTCTTGCTTGAAGCTATGTGTGGTAGCCAAACTTGGACACAGACATTAAGAAGACCTGCAAGACTTGTGGGACATACTTACTAGGTCAAAGCAAACCAAACACCCATATTGCTGGGAATATCCTAGTCAGTCCTGGAAATGGATTCATGTGGATTTTGCTGGCCCCTTTATGGGACGCATGTTTATGATTGTTGTGGACGCTTATTCAAAATGGATAGAGATATGCATAATGAATACGTCTACTGCTCAAGCCACAATAGAGAAGCTGAGAGGGGTATTTGCTACACATGGCCTGCTGGTATTGTTAGTGAGGGATAATGGCCCGTGTTTTACCAGTGATGAATTCAAGCAGTTCGTGAAATCAAATGTTATCTGCTCCTTAACATTTCTTCATTTACTTCTTGATATTGTAGCTTTGGTCATACAAACTCTTTAGTACTATTACACCAAAATTTTAAGAGTAGCCAGGTACATAAGATTTTTTGGTAACAGTCTAGAATTGGGGCAATAAAACAGGGGCCATAATTCGGATGGGCAAAAATAAAAGTAATTTTGTTAATAATGGCTCTCTGAAAAATGTAATTACTTTGTAAAATTATTCCTGATAGATCGAGAAGCACTCTAGAAGCTGTCATCCAAAGTGAACAAGAAAGTTCTCTATGATCATTAGTGATGGTTGCTCCGCTTATAATGGCCTCTAAATGATCTGGGGTACAATCAATCAGTCAGTCAATTATAGACACTTAGGCCACTATGTATCTTTCGATACATGACTGACGAGGCAGATTTTTTTTCCCACAGTAGGTTGCCATTTCTTTCTGCGGTAGAGCCAAGGCTATAGAAACCAGTCTGTCCTGCTAATTAAGGGAGAAAAAGAGGATTCATTCGGAAGTGAATGTAGTATAAAGTAAATGGATTCGACTGGAATTTGAACTCGGCTCTCCGATTCCTCAATCCGAGACGCTATTCATTAATCCAAAGTTATAATTCATGAAAATAATTTTGTTGGTTTTACATTACAACTACAATACATGAATCTAAAACTCAAACAATAGAGAATAGTTGGTTTTAAAGTATTTTCTCAAAGAAAAAAAGGTACCAAATAACTTAAGCATCCGTATAAATGGGAATATATTTAATTTCGAAAAAGAATTTAAAAATGAAATATGTATGTGAAAATTAGAAAATAAAACAAAAAACGATAAATTCTAACTTGCGAATTATTGCCCCGATTCGACTTTTACATATTTTTTTTTATTTCATTGAACCGAAAAAAATCTGAACTTCGATTTCAGAAACTAATGCAAAAACAAAACAATTTGGTATTTTTTAATTTAACGTTTTCAATTTTCAACTAACTAAGGATAACAATTGGGTGCTAAATTCGCATCTGTAATACAGACAAAAGAAAAAAGTCAAATAAATCCTTCAAATCATAAACATTCAACTTTCTTAGCTTTCCTAAATCTTGAACCCATTAGAATTTTCGGGTGAAGTCTTTAGTTTAAATTTTTTGATGGTTAATAAATTACTGCTAAAAAAGAAAAAAATGTTTGATAGTCCACGTGTGAAACTCGCACGAACAAAAGTTTAATTACTACATTCCGTTGAGGTGAATTAACAAGAGATAGATTTGGTATATCAAAATTCAAAACCACTGACTGATGTAAATAAGAAATTAGACAAAAAAAAAAAAAAAAAAATTTAAGAAAATACCTTAACCTTTAAATCTTGAACGACAAAAACGTGATTAGAGACGGACGCATAATGTTTCAAAATAGCAATTTGTAGGCAACACAATGTCATTTTGAGAGAAGATAATGAAAGCTATTTTATTCTAAACAACAGGGAAACAATAAATAAATTAACTATGAAAAATCAAAACAAAAACATGTCCTGTAAAAAAAAACAAAATGCTAGTTCGATTACCTTTTCTTTTAAAAAGCAATTTATTAACTTATAGTAACGATTTTAATGAGATACGCTAAGTGCATAAATACAATAGGTAGTCTACAATACATTACCTTCATACTTTCCATCGCTATAAAGTATTTTTGATTCTTGAATCCCAACAAAACTTGGTTATAAAGTTTTGGAATGGAGAAAATAAACAATGAAATCCAAGAACGTTTTTGATCACATGGGACGAAAACATACGAGTTATCGTTCTTAGTATACGAGATCTCGTTACCTGAATGGCGTTTTTTTAAAACTATGTCAAATTAGCGCCAACCATGATTTTTTTTCTTTTCCTCTATGAATATCAAAGAAAAAATGTAATCTCTCTTAACTTCGGAAAATGTATCTAAAATATGCAACAGTGTAAATAGATAATGTCTGTGTAAAACATCCCACCAGAAAAAAATTAAAGGAAATATGCTGATCAATATAAAAAAAAAATTATAAAATTTATCAAGATTAAAGTTTTTATTAGTAAAACTTAAAATTAAAATTAATGTGAAAAATTTGAGATTTATCATTTTGACAACAATCAAGTTATTTTCCACTCTGATTTTTAAACATTTGTCCACATTTACTTTTATTTAATAAATAGAATAATTTATTTATTTAATATAGAATAATAATGCAAAGTTTTAAGTTATTATTATATATTAATTAAAATATATATTTTATGCTATTATTATAGTTCATTTACTCCAAATTTTTCAAATTAAAGTAAAACTCCAAATATATTTTGTACTGTAGCATAACCAAATATTAATATGACTATGAGTATATTATTTATAATTTATGTTTTCGTAAAAACTGGTACAGCCAAATTTATTTAAACTTTGAAAAAAATTGTTGAAGCTGTTAGGTTTTAGATTTAAAAAAAATGGATTGAGTTCAACTATCAGTGTTAAGTACATTTCAGATTTATTCTTTATCAGATGCAATACAGTTAATTTTTAAAAATATACTTCATAATTTATATTTTAATTTTAGGACGAAATCCTTCTTTCTTTTATGTACTTCACTCTTACTTCTTAAAATTTCTATCAAAGACAAAATCATTGCCAAGTAAACTTATAATAATTACCCATTACTTTCTCATTATTTTGTTGATGAAAATATAAATAAATTCAAAGAATTAGAATATGGTGCTAAGATGTTACTTTGAATTAAGATATAAATATTTTCAGTGGTATTTTGATGGATGATTAGAGCATCTTCAGTGAACATCGATAATTAACCTGTTGCAAAGTAATATATTGTAGTGGTTGATACATAAGTAAATAATCACACAAACTGAATATGGACAATAACTTCCATGTTCTTGTTTTGGGGATATTATAATAAAATCTTTACAAAATAAAAGTAATTTTCTTAGTCTCAAAAGGAGTGTGAGGGACACTAATGAGAGACAGAAAATCAAGTGATGAAAGCAATTTTGTCATTTGTATTGGATTAAAACAGCATTAATGTAAAATTTTAGTACCCTGCTATCACTTTTTTTATCAGTGTTGATTTTTGTGCAAATCTGTGCAAAAAGCGGATCACAGAGTTTATCCAGTGTCATACATATTTTCAGAAAACCTCAACTTCTAATTGATCAATAAACACACGTGGACATTGCAATCAACCCATGTGCAGATCTTTTTCCAGCATGTGACCAAGTCAAAATTTCCTGCTTCCTTCTTCAGAGCCAATCATGTGACAATGTTGATTATAAATACCAGACACAAGTTCATTTTTTCTTCTCTCCTTTTTGTTTCTCTTCACTTACTAAAATGTAGCTGTATGAGAAATTGTGTTCTGACCCCAGTTCGGGCGGACACCATGAAAACATATTTACACATGCACACTTAATTACAAACATTATGGAACATTCATTCCTTCAACTCTTCTGAAACAAAAAGTAAATTAACACATATATGAACAAACTCTCTTTCACAGTGAAACAAAAGAAAAGTCAACCAGACACATTGCTTGGATATTTACAGTTTTTTCCAATTCTTCACCAGCAAGAAATTATTTAAAGAAAAAGTTTTTTCCTGAAGCTACAAGTTTACCAAACATATTTTCAGCTTTTCAGGACATAATTGAAGAAACTTTCTTACTCGGTTCTATTTAACAAAATTTTCTCTTGGTAAGCATTTTCTTTTAGCGGCAAGATTTATTGTAATTATTTTCAGAAATACAAAAACTAAATTTTATTTAGCACCAAACAGAAACTTCTTGAAACATCAAGCAAATATTCAAAGTTCCATTTTACCAAACACATTTTCACAGTTCATTCAACTTTTTATGAGCTCAGATAAAAATATTTCATTAGTAAAGACTTTAATTCCAGTCAAAGGGAAGTAACCCTTATGCTTGTACATCATCATATAAATATAAATATTGTTTTGTTATAAAACCGTTTTGTGTTGTTTCGCTTGTTGCATTTGGGTTTGCTTGCACATTCATAAAGTAAAAAATGTTGATTTAGGCTGTCAATACTGCTACAAAATTGATATTAAGTCCATTTCTTCTTTTTCATATCATTTCTAGGGGTTGTTGAAATTGCTTCCAAAACCTTGATTTTCGAACCTATCTTATTTCAATTTGTAGTAGTAGGTTAAGTTTAATAAATAAGATATCTGTCTTAAATCCACTGAAAAGTATCACCGAGTTATCATCTCCTTAACACCTCATTGACATTACCACTGGCATTCTTGATAAGTCAATCAGCTAACTTTGTTTCTGAAAACCAGATACTTAGATAAACAAACAAAAAGATTGAAGAGCCAGTACCAAAGTGCATTAATATTTAAGCTTATCTTTTAATTGTTCAATGAAAACTCTTCTGCCATCACTTAATTTAAAGACAATTTGATGTGTGTAGGTTTTTACTTTCAGTACAAACAATTATTTGTATTTCATGGGTGACTTTTGCTGGATTTCACAATTAATTTCGATTATTCCCAAACTTATTTCCAAATTATTAAAATTGGTATTGTACAAAAAAAACTGCTCCAAAAAATTACCTAAAAAAGTCACCGAAAACAATCACAATAATGAATACTTGGGAATCCCAAATTTCTGGAACATGAGCTATTTAGTTAGAGAGTTGTGTCCCTTTTAATTAAATAAGTGTGACATAGTGACACACTGACATTCAAATTTATTATATAGATATATATGCATGTTTGTGTGTGCAAGACTTGTGAAAATTTTCTGAAGAACTTTGTCTTTTTTATATTTCTTATTTTTTATACTTTTCAAGTGACTTTGTGTGTATGTGCATTTTAATATAGCTAGTGAGTTTCTCTCTTTTCTTTCCTCCTCCTGTCTTTTCTTGTTATATGCATGTGTGTTTCTTTTCTTTTGGGTCTCTGCTGTGTGTGTGTGTGTGTGTGTGTGTGTGTGTGTTCCTTAGTCTCAGTCCCTGTGCCACATACATGGTTTTCATTTTTCTTTTTGGGTTTTCTTGTTGCATTTTCTTCATATGCTCATCTTTCAGTTTGTGTAGACATCTGTGCATGTATTCTGCATCTTTCCCCCTTGGTTACAGCACTACTTATAGACAAAACTACGGCCCTTGGTCAGTCTTTCACTAACTAGACAGCTTCATCTCACAATATGTTTCAATTCTCACTTTTGGTAGTGTGAACAAAAACTGGGAAAGCTTGATGTATGTTCAACAAAAGAACAGAAGGTGAAATATCAGCACAACAAGAAACGAAAACACAAATTCTTTCAATATAATGGTTTTTTATACGTGGATTTTATTGGTACAGTCTGGATGTATATAATTAACACTTGGGACCTCTTTGTTACTTTTTCTGTCTTCTCTCATGACATACTAATGGACCAGACCTTCCCTTCAGTCAGCAAAGACTTTGATCATCCTTCTGTTCATATCTGTGTAACATTGTGTCTGTGAGGTATTTAAACATTAGTTCTAAGCAGAAAAAGGGTTAAGTCCAAAATAAAATATAAAGTGGAAGATAGATTGACAGAAATATATAATAGAAGACATTTTCTCTGATAATATAGAAGAAAGGGCTATCTGGGTTGCCTCACCTCTATGAATTGGAATGATGCACCATGAGTTTACATTTTTTTATCTATTGAAAAATCTGGCAGGTGGGTAAAGCAAATTGGGAAATGCCTTTATCTCTTTTCTGGGAAATTAGAAAAAAATCATGTCATTAGTGAAAAGAGAAACAGAGGGGAATTATATTTTCGCTGGCGAAAATGAATTGAGAAATGAAAACAGAGAATGAACCTGCTGCAAGTGTTAGGATTGTGAAAATCGATCCGTCATAACAGGCAGGTAATCTGGTTTATATTTTTGCTAAGTTGGAGACTTGCCCAAGGATGGAAAACAGCGTGTCTCTTTGTTGAGAATTTAGGTAAACAAATATATTTTCATTGACGAAAACAAATTGGGAAATAATTTTTATCTATCGCTCAGAAAGTTAAAATGAGAATGTGATCTGTTTTGTATTTTTTCTGGACAAGTAAGTCCAGGAAGGGAGTCAGAGAATTGAAATTAATGAGAATAAACCACACCTTTTTTCCTACACACTTTAAAATTTAGATTTGTTGCAGGAACAATTGTGCCAGCTCTGAGAGGTGGGTGGAGTTAGAATACCGAGAAGACAGGGAAAAGGGGCAGAATTTAGTCCCACCTGTGTGGAGTAGGGTGCGAGATGTGAAGTGAAGCAGATTGGAGTTAAGGGAGGAGAAATCCCTGTGACTACTTCCGAGGAAGGTGGATAATTGTCAAAATTTGGAAAGTTGATTAAGAAAGCAGAACAGGGAACAAAGAAAACCTTTATTGGAATTAATGAAAATTGAAGAATCACCGAATCCTCAGAACCTTTTGGTCCTATGACAGTTTTGGGCCATATTAGCAGATGACTTTGGGGAGTTCAGAGATTTTGGAGCGAGAACCCACACTGGAATCTATATCAGCTGCCACCAGATTTCCTTATTTTAAGACATTGAACCCAGCTCCTCCAGAATTTTAGACAAGGCCCATTCTCACTGAAGAGATTAATGCAGGAAGGGTTCATTTTTGTTGTACCAACAACTATATAAATCAATT